CAAGGGAGTAGCAGGCATCAACAGAAGGTCTGCTTACTGCTCGTCGTCAAAAGCAGATTATCAGGAGGAGCTGGAGCGAATCATTTCTGTAAAACCTGAAGGTACCAGGAGAACGGGCGGGAGGCTGGGGGAGAGAACAGTGTGTCGATGTATTCCCCCTAGACGTTACCAGACAGACTCTACTAATCCCTGCCAGACTATGTGTATCAGCAGCTTCCTTCACTTCTTAAGACTCCTTTTCCAGTCTCAATCAAATCGCTGGAAGATTCCCATAAATGATATCGAAGGGGTTTTTCTATCCTGTGTTACAACAATGCTGGAGAGGTTTTGCGTCTGTGGTGAGCTTGGTGTGGAGTTCATTGTAAAGTGCAAAAGAAGCATGAAACGTATAAAAGTCATGCGTAAATGCACTTCAGACGCATTTAAGATCGGAGCAAAATGCAATAAACACAGTCCATTCCAGGAAACAAATAAGCAACTGAGATCTAAAAAAAATATTTGCATATTATTGAAGACTGGATTCATATGCAAGAGAGATGGGAGAATTTTAAATGTGATGAGTTGAATGATTGAGGGAGATATAGGGAGGAAGAAAATTCATCCAGCCCTTGCCTATCAACGTCACCTCTGCCCAAAACCATAGCTGGCTTGATGTTGAGTGCTGACCTTTTGACTTCAGGAGAGTTAATATGACTTTTGGGTGCTGCCGGAAGGGTCATGGCCATTACTCACCTCCAACAAGGTCTGTTGAGGACAAAGCTACCAGTTTCAGACCCAAGGCAACCAGCGGGGGCCTCTGAACTATTGGTCAATAATGTCTGTGCCAGCCATCCGGTTCATGTTTCTACCCCTATGGCCATGGTGACTATGTAGGTCGATTGAGCAAAAACAACACACCAGCCTGCAGAAGTGTGACCACGATGATGTGGTGAATTGTCATGACTTCAATCTTCTGGTTTTCCCTCCTCCACTGCTTGGCTCTTTCTGTCCTGACAAATAATACCACCCCAGGTCTAAATGTGCTGACATTTTCATCCAAAGTGCCTTACAGCGTTGAGAGCGCATATTCAAAATGGCAGGCTGCAGCGACTTTAATGTCTAACGCTTGTGGTGGTAAATAACATACTTTTCCCGTCAGCTATTATTTACTTGCTCTGTTTAATTTACAGTAATCAGGTGCAACACAAGACGTGTGGTGAAGCAGAAAGAGAGGCTTTTTTCTTCAGCTTGCACAAACAAAGCTGACCTGTTTTTAATTTCAAAAATACTATGGGTTTAACAATGGTTTGTCGTAACGCTCGTTAAAATTGGTTTACATACTAAATATTCTTATTTGTTGTTCTACATTGTGGTTTGGTTAAAGCAACACTATATGTGTTTACAGACTCTTGGACACAAAATGTTTCAGGCTTGAGGGCTGCAATAATTACATTTCATGCTCATATCAGGTACAGTTCAATTCTTAAAAGGTCACTCCGGTTCAAACTTCTTATTGTTGCCAAAAGTTCTTCTTGGAAATGTAGGAACCCAACAACAGTGCACTACAGTTCACTACTTTAATGCATGGAGTATTAATAATATTAGTCAACAATTCAAGAGATTAGGAATAAATGAAGCCGCAAATCGGTGCCATTGTTGGTTAAAACCAGTGAGTTGTAGTATTCTAGCCGCCACCAGGCCGAGTTCTCGTGTGGCTTGAACGTACACGAGTGCAGAAGACTATTGCATAACAGCATCATAAAGCATTGGTAGTTTTGCTGTTGCTGACAATAGTCAGCGGAGCCTCGTATCGAATGCACAACTGCTGTATCCAGAGACACAGAGTTCACTTCCTACTGTCGGTTCATGTGCAACATATGCTATAAAGTTGTTACATGTTTCTTTCATTGAGTCTTACCCACCCTGGCTTTGTGGAAATAAAAGAAATGTGCATGACCAGGGATGGCTAATCCACAAATCAAAGGGGAGAGGGGCCTTTACAAGACACACTGCCTCCTGTTTTCACAGCCAGACTAATTGCACCTCGTGTCGTTGGAAGAGCACTGATTTAGCACTCAGAGCATATTAAAATGAATAAACACAATTAGCTGTGAGTGCAACAGCGCCTCTGCACAGCGCACATTTCTCTCTGCGACGACAGTCACTTCAGAGCAGCTGTTATTAACTGTGTTGTTGCGTCAAGTGCGATGTGACTAATTGCAAAGCACTCGATGCCACCAAAAATGCTCCTAATTTCAATTTGAATTTAAATCAAATGAACGGAGCACTAGGTGGTAAAAGAAAATTGGGTAACTGTGCAATTGTAATCGTAAAATCTGGAACAAAGGACAAGGTAGAAATGTGTATTTGCTGATTAATGTTCTACTTTCATTGTGACTGTTAAGATTTTATAACCAAACCATGGTGTGAATTTAAGTGGGAAATAGACAGTAATTGATGAGATACAAGTCATGAATGAGTCAAGAAAACAAAAGTTTGCTTGGAATGACTATTTACCATAACGTTTTTCAAAGTAAACACAGACTTTAAAGTACTAAAACAGCTAGTCTACATCAATCATTGTTACATCAAACAATACATATGCATTGTTTGTGTATGTGTGAATTTGAAAATAGCAGTTTTCAAATGTTGACACTTGAAAATGTTTTACTGGCTGTAGGTTTCAGTTTCAGCGCAGCATCTGGAAAATATCTGATGGGAAAAAGCCTCTTAACGTATCACGAGCTCTGCTCGCTTTGCCAATAAAAAAAAAAATCCAATAGCTGGAGTTGGTAGTAAAAAATGCACTTGATGTTAAGAACCCCAAAGAACAAAAAATACATAAAACAGGGAGAAAGATACAACTTCTGAAATCTCCTGAAGTAAAATACATGACATTGAATGTCTGTGAGGCCTGTAGCGATCTAGAATCGCCCTCTCGTCTCCCCTTTGATTCCGTTTAAAATGAGAGGGAGAACACACCCTGTCGAGTTCGGGGAAATAAAAGAAAAACTGCTCAGAAAGTAATACTTGCAAAAGAAGTGACTTTCAAAACCCCGAGGACGACACTTCCTTAAGACCTCTATACTTGGGGGAACAAAGCATCATATCCGGGGCACAATTCAATTAGCTTGTCATCCGAGTGTAGGGAAAGGAGCTCCAATTAAAGACGTTTTCGTGGGTGTGATGTTCTCACTACCTCACCCTTCTCCACTGTTAATTACCACCGCTTACAAGCGTGCCACTCACAAATGCATCGATCTGCAATTTCTGCAGACGAAAAAACAAATGAATGAGTAAAATGAAATAAAACAGCACCTTGCAGACGCAGCTGTGACAGACACGCCGGTCACGCTCAGCTTATCCTTGGCATTTTCATTGCCTTTTGTCTTTCTTGCCCAGTTGTTTGACAGTGATCGGGGTTGATAAATTGTTCAATTAAAGCCGCATTAAGAATCCAGAACACACTGGACTCACAGCCTCTTGGTGTACGTGTTGTCCAATTACTCTGAAGGACAAGGCTCCTTCTCGCTACCGACAATCAACATGTGACTCATCATAAGATAAATGGGTTTATTTATGCCACCTAGCAGGCTGATTGAATACTGTAGTGCAAGACCGATGATTTGGAGTTAACGCAATCAAAACGCAATTTCCATTACCAATGGTTTAGATTTTTCTATGTAGTCTCCACTGGGGAATTCACCAGGATGTGAAATAGGTGTCAAAAGTAGAAACAAACAGTGATGTGTATTTCATCTGCATTTTCCAGCTTTATACACTGGTGCTGCTGAGCCTGACCTCTGACCTCTATACATTTCAAGATACTTCCCTGCTATTTTCTATTAACATCGGGAACAAAAACAACATTGTTCGGCCTCTTCTGTTCAGCAAGCCGCAGTAAATGAAATGCATTACGAATCTGTTTTTGGCTTGCAGTTGCTGTTGGGGTGGAAGGGTGAGGAGAGAGGGGGGAGGGGCGGTATGTGGCCCAGGGAAGGTTTAGCCTTAAATGTTCTGATAAAATTAAGATCCATTGCAATTCTAATTGGACTCACTTGAATTACTGTAAACTGCCGTAACAAAAAAAAAGGAAGAAAAAAGCCAGAGCCTGGAGCTGTATCCAAACTTTACGACACAATCAGAACAAAAGTTACTTTGCGTGGCAGACGATTACCCTTAAGATAAAAGAAGTAGTGGTGAAAAATTAAAAGGATATTGATTGTGCAAACATCAGAGAAATGTCAAAAAATAAGCTTTTCTCCAACTCCACACAAAGCTCACCACAGACACTTTGCAAGGGAATACAAAACTTCGACAGCATTGTTGTAACACAGGATAGAAGAATCCCTCAGACACCTTTGATGGATGTCTTAAAGGGATTTGATTCAGTGAGTTCCTCTCCCCCCCTTTTAAAAAAAACATTTTCTGGACTGTCGCTGAACACTGAGATCAGTGATGGACATTTACCTGCATCACATCAGAGCAATATGCCCACTGGACGCCTCAGTGTTTTCAAATGCTAAATTATGGGAGCATTTTGGTCAAAATGTCCCCAGAACGGGGGCTCAGTGTTTGATATTTGTTTGATATGTGTGTGTGTGTGTGTGTGGGGGGGGGGGGGGGGGGTCTCCAGTGTGAGAAAGTTAGGGGACCTCTGCATTAAAATGCAGACTGCGGACTAAATCACTGACTTTAGTCTTCTATATATAGAACACGCAAAGAAACCACGTTAACAAAAAAGTTAGGGCAAATAAGTTCCCTCTGAAGCACATCCAGCACAAGAGCAGAGCAGGAATACCTTTTTCTTTTTCCCCCCGCAGACTGAGGTCTACTGGCAAAGAGTAAGAGTAAAGACACCCGGTAGACAGGACGGTCCAGCATTATGGCAGAGTAGGAAAAACAGTTGAAGCGTTGTCTCTTCCCACATTTATTTACCTTTATATAAATAACCTGCTCTCTAAACTCATATCAAGCGTCTCAAAGAGTTAATAAGTAGGTTCAAAGTTGCGAGCACTTACTTCAACGGCGTGAGAAGAGTATTTCTCAGACTACCCCCCTAGTTGGTTAACGGGGGGACAGCTTTTAAATCCGTATTGGTTGGTGGGTGAGCGGTCGTATTCCCTTTAGAAAAACAGTTACTTCGCATCCACGACGGTAGGAAGAAGAAGAAAAAACACTCCGCTATATTCCACTTTCTTGAGCAGCAGAGCAGTCACTTGTTAACGGGGGGAGCGAGTACAAAACACTTCTATTATTCCCCGTGCGTTTGTATTCCTTTCCCCCCCAAACAGATCAGACGCTCCGAGCCAGAATCTCCTCAGTGAAAGGGAAATTAAACACCCTATAATAATCCGTGCGCGACACCGCCGCGCGCGGATCTCCAAATGTGTATCCACTTTATTGATGTCTGTCGTTATCTCCGCGTCCCAGGTTTTGGTCCCTTTCTTCCCAAATCCACCTCGTACGGACTGGGGGGGGGGGGCAGGAGTCAAATGCCCCCCCCCTTCTCCCTCCCCTCTCTTGCAGGGAAAAAAAATACGAAGCCTTGTGCTGCGTTCAATGCCGCCTCATAAACTTCGTCTCTTGACTTCCCCTGAATCGTAAATCCTACCACTCGGTGCGTTCAAGCACGTTCCGTCGGAAATCATATCACAGTGGGGCCTGTAACGAAACGAGTTACTGCGGCTGATCTTTTATTTTCATAAATCTGGGCTGCGATGACAGAATGAAGAGACGACAAATACACAGAGCAATGGTGCAGGGAAGTAAAGCACGAGTTTGGACTTTTTAGCCTACAAACTGCGAGGCTAAAGTTTTCAACTGATTTGCAATAAAATATCAATTAATTTGATATAACACAAGATATGTTAAAAAAACATATTTCTATGCATTTGCCAGAATGACCTTGAGCACTGAGAGAGATGCAAGAAGTCAGTGGCCCAAAAATGCTAAAATGTGGGTAATCAATGAACCAATATGGATGTAATAGTCAATTTCTTTACATGTCCAGATAAACGACACAGTGATCTTCAGTGCATATTAAGCAAGTAGCCATTATCAATCCAGTTGCATCATAAATAAACATGTCACATAGTAGCCTACACACAATATACAGTCTATAAACTGCAATGCAGCTAAAATACAAGGCTGGAACAAACAGGAAGTGTTCTGTGACATGGTCACGATTTGGAAACGTGACTTAGTTTTAATTTTGTAAAGACTATTTATTGCTTTCAGTAGCCACTCTACCATGACATGTCCCGTTTGTCCTTGTTCCCGTTTACATTTCAAAGCAAATCAAATTAGCATCAATTCTTTTCATTTCAGTGATAATACATTTGTATCATTTATTATTATTTAATTAATTTGTTTAATAATGTTGAGCTATGATGTGCTACAAAACAACAGCACAACAAACAATTAGCTGCAATAAAAATGAATATTGATCTAGTAATTACTCAAATGCCAAATAAAAGCGAAACATTTTACATTGACTTTCAACAACCTTTGGTTCGTCCTCCTTTCACTTTGCTATCAGTGAGGAGGGATTTGGACCTGATTTCACACAATCACATTGGTTTTGAGCTGAAGCAGCAACTCTGATTGGCTGGTAGAATTTGAATTTGAATAGTGACAATGGAGTCCCTTTGTCCACCAGGGAGGCAAAGCACAAGAGTCCACTGACCCACAGGGGCTCTGAAGTACTGTTTGTAAACAATTGGTCAATACTGTAAATGTACATCTGAATACATTAGATAAACAGGTTTTAGAAGCAACAGTGGTTTCCAGTTCCACTTTAATTCATTTTAAATCAATTTATTTTGTATTTGTACGCTTTCAGTTGAGGGTACTTCACAGTCATCTTAAAGCTTATATGAGTATTTGAAGACACTTTTCCACTATTTATCAATTCCTCAAAATTTAGTTTTTGACATTTATTTGAATTATGGGAGAAAGGTTATCCCCTAGCCCAGCCACCACTGCTCAGCTGAAAAACGCTGGTTACTGGCTACGTCAAATCACCTTACTGGAGCATTAAGGACCAGGGTGTATGATGGGAAATTGAAGAAATTAGATTGAATTAGGACGGGGCTACATTTTGTGAGGCGCAGTGCATCAAATGAAAGGCCTCTCCTGCCCAATTGGAAGGAGAGTAGCAATATATTTTGTGTGAACTTTTCAAGGTATGCAGGCAGTAATGGATGGGAACAGGCCCTTTTAAAAAAGACCCATCTTAGCTGTGTGTTGGCAGAAAGCCACCCTGAGCCACAAGCAATCCTCCACTGCCCTCTCTCTGCTTTTTGTTTAAAACCCAGCGTGACATGTAACACACCGTAAAGAGGTGAAGAGGGGAGTGAAGTGTGTGTGTGTGTGTGTGTGTGTGTGTGTGTGGGTCTAATCAATTTAACTGATGAATAAAAATCATGCGTTTATGTTACGTGGACTTTTCCCTTGGCCACTTATTCACACTACGGCCCCTTATTTAATCAGGCCGGTAAATCTTAGCGGCAACCCAGAGCTCTCACTGCCATTCCCATGGTGGCATGAGCCTTAACATGGTAAATTTCACTCGGGTAGGGAAATGCGCTCAGTGGCCGAGGCTAGTGCTTTAGAAGGATAAAAAGAGCACTTACCGCCTGACATGTGCAATCCATAACAGAATAATGAGACTCCTCCACACTAGGAGCTCTCTTCCCCTGCTCTCCCTCTCCACTTTTTGTTTTCCTTGTGAGTGTTCATAAATGCCATGTAAATTCAGAGAGCGGAAGATGTGGCACGTGCTCGAGGGAAAGCGCTTCATCGTTTGCGTCTTGTTACCGAATTGTGTAACAACATGTACTATGTGAAGATTCTCCGAACGACCAGCGAACCTTGTTGAAACTGCCGGCCTCCGTCTGTCAGCTGTTATGGCTACAAGTGAAGGTGATCCACACCATGATGCTTGTTGCTCATCACTGTTCTCAAACAAAGACACACCGGCATGCCAGAAAACAAAAGCCGTTCATGGGAGAAGAATGCTTCTAGAATTATATTAAAGGACTCTGGGTGATGAAAATCAACATGAACATGATATGGACGTCCGTTGACACAGAAAAGTAAAGACAGTAGACGATAACATTGCCCAGTTGGTGGTCATAATTACTTTAAAAATACATATACACTATTAAGAGCGGAGATTATAAAAGCATTCGTTTTTGCTTTATCCCCTTAAAAAGGCCTAAAGCATATATTATTTGCTTTTCATACACAAATAGGAAATAAAAAATATGTCTGCCACCATCACAAGGTCAGCCACTTTATTTAGTTAACAACAATGTATATACATTGGCGGGTTTCCTTCAATATGTCACTGCTCAACTCAAAAGCCAACAAAAGAGCGGAGTGTTACCAACTTGTAAACACTGCCCAAATGTTGTTTGTCCAAATCTACATGCATTCTTTCTTGCCCCCCCTGTCCTGTTTTAAACACTACGTGAGACTGTAAAAAAAGGAATGTTGCTTCTTCTCCTTATTGTCTCCCTGCTCCCCTCCGTTCATCTGTCACCCCAAGGGGCTGAGGCACAATCACCTCCGATAGCAGCGGGCCATCGCTCACTCTGTCCCTGGAGGCGACAGCCCACTTACTGCCAGCTCGCGCTCAAATGGAGGACATTTCATCACCCCACGAAAACACAATTAAAAACGTGCACGCAGCAGTCGACGGCCCTTCGAGAGCCACCCCCAGCCTCAACTTTAGTTACTCTGAGCCTGCCTCACCCTGTCAGATATTTACTCTTCCTGTGGTTGAGTGTTTGTCAGCTAAGTTGGAAAGTACTGTGTGGTGTTTCCGTGTGAACAAGACACTGGAAGAAAGAGAGAAAGTGGACCGGCGCTGAGTGCTTATCCATCTCGGATAGAGGAACGGTAAGCACGTCCGCCTTGGTGGGCATGTAGCCTCCACAGTACACTGATAAGTGACTGTGCTGTTGGCTAGAATCCTGTTTGTCCCTGGAAGCCAAAATGGAGGATAGCATGCTGGGGTTTGTGTTGATGTGCTTAACACACACACACACATACTGTACACACACACACAAATACACACAAACAGCAAGCAGGAACACAGGCAGACTGACGGCTATTAGAGTGCAATGATGCTCCCTCTTATCTCCCACCGTGATAGAGATCTACAAAGAGCTTCAGAGCGATTATGAATTCATTACCTTGATACACAAGTGAGCACGGCAATAGACAGGAGTTTGAGAATGGAGATGGGAGCTCGGTGGGTGTACTGAAAAGGGGATGGGAATGCAATGAATTACACGCTGCTAGAATAAATCTGATAGCTCTCTCTGCACTTTCAGGGATTTTTGAGTTCTTCAGGTGCCACTGGAGTGCATTGCTCTGTGACACACACATCAATGTTCATGTTTTCCACTGTCGTACTGAGGATCATAGTTCAAAAGGACATGTGGGCACTGCAAGTTTCAAATCGTACCTTCTAACAACAGGCCACTCTTACAATCTGTCTTTACGTTTCAATTTACAGCAATTCAAACAATATCTGAACATATTACATTGCAACTCAATGCTTAGTGTTCTTTTTTAAATTCGGCTTTCTTTTTCCCCATTGATAACAAAAACAGTGCAGCATCTGTGGCCTGTGTTTTTGTATTATTTTTTTTAAACTTTGGTGACATTTTGGTTCCGCTTCTCACTGGTCTTGTGTTGTGAATTGTTCACTCTTCACAGAAATGTGAGCAAAGTCCCATTGTTGTGCATCCAATCTGTCATTAAATGCATCCTGGCATGATTACATAATAAGACTCCCACTTCGCAAGTCTAACAATGGTCTTTGTGTTGAAGACATCAGATGAATACCTAAATTATAGGGTGTTGTTTTTATCACATTAGAGTCTGCATAACCCGGTTCTTTTCGGTTACCAGACACTTACTTACTCTTGCCTCGCTTTCTTCCTCAATTCTCCTGCATTTCTTTTAACCGACTCACTCTCAATATGGCTTTCTCTCCGAGAGTGTTTTCCCTCCAGCTCTGTTGAACTCAGCTGACATTTGGAGGCAGGTGAAAGAGTGCAGCTAAATGAACCAAAGTATTACGGAAGAAAGAGCAAGGACAGAGGGAAAAGAGACTAAAACCCAGACAGAGAGGGGGTGTTTTAACTGTGTCTTGCGAATACTGTTAAACACTGTTGTTTTATATGGTGCCCAATGCTGCAGTGCATTTCAGTTTCCAAGTTGGCATTACTGGACTGAGCGGACAGTTAGTTTAACTGTGAATATTGTAAACTATAGTAGGTTGCATATGTTCTCCACTGTTGTGTAGCCTATCATGTGTATAGGGTTAGACCAGTATTTGCCTTTTATTACACACTGTATATTCCACAGTCATGGACGACGGCTACTGTATGTTGAAGAGGAGTCTGCACGATTTGCAAGCACATTTGATTTGAATCCATTTGATTTTTAGAAAATAATGTATTATTTCATTTTCCTGAAAGGAAAATAATGTATTCCACAATTTAGAGGTATGATTTAGTGGCAAAGATAATTAAAGATTTGTATCCTTAGTCTGTGTTTTATGTCCAAATGCTGTATGAGAGTTATGATAGGACTATTTGTGTAAACAGCAATCCTGTCATGTTTGGGATAAAATTGACCAAATGTAAACTTCAGATCAGATATCAGCTTTGCTGATGTAAAGTTATAATTTCTACAAATAGACATATAAAAGTTATATTGCCTTCTCATGTTCAATGTCTTTTTGTGCTGGCTTGTTTTTAGTGTGGTAATAAGCCCTTTTACTGAGTGACAGTTATCCGTAATGGTACATCAACATATGAATCCATCTTTCAGCAACCTATTTTATTGTTTTGCTGAAACAACCCAGCATATAATTTATGCTCTTTGGGGGTGTATTTATGCAGTAACATGTCATTACATGTTGTGTATGCGTAGCATCCCGTGAATACGTCTTTTGTAAATGTGTGTGCTTCTGAGTGAATTTAATGTGCTGCGTGTGCAAATGTGTCCTTCACTGTGTGTATGTTCAAGCATATGCGCCTTTGAATGTATGCCATTGTATACAGAGTACTGTGTGCGTGTACATTTCCGTGCCTTTAACGCTTTCGGGTCACTGTGCGCGTGGTGCTGTGTGCAGATATAAGTGTGCCTTGCAGCGAGTGTTTCTGCACATGGCGTGAGAGTGCGCGTGCTTGCGCATTTCTACACAGCGGAGAGGCGGGTGAGGCCAGAGAGGTAGGGGGTGATGAGTGATGCCAGAGGTGGTTTTCTACCAACCCCTCCGCTGGCTTGCTGGCTCACTAATGGCCTCCTCAGTGGGTTGGCTGACCGACTTGCTGGCTCTCAGTGGCTCCGTCTTCCTTATTTGGTAGTGGAGGGTGGGGGATGGTGGCGGCGGGGTAGTGGATGGGGGAGTAGCGGTGCTCTGTTTACACACAAGGTCAGAAGGTCGGAGCGCCAGAGTGCCATGGAGCAAATACAGATCACTTAAAGACAGTAAGAGAGCACACGAGTCATTGCTTCACGGCCGTCAGCTGGATGGATCGGGGCAGATTTGCCGTGAAAGAGTGTGATGGAGAGAGTGTGTGTGTGTGTGTGAGAAAGAGCGAGAGAGGAGGGTGGATAGCAATACATGCTTTGGTGAAGCCCCAGAAAAAAGATCTCTACAGGTAATTTCCACACACATACACACTCAATTGTCTCTTTACCCTCTCTTGCTCTCAGGCCCTGGACAGTTGAAGGGAGTCAGTGGAAAGGAAATTAAAGGCAACCATCCTTATAGTTTTTCTCTTGTCCGCTTGACTGCTTGCATGCCTGCCTGCCTGCTTGCATGCCTGCGTTCCCTGGGCAATGTTTATGCTGTGCCCTGCCCAGGACAGAATAGATTCGCCCACACAGCACTGTGCTCTCAACCAGAACCTAAGTAGGTCTGGCAAGCCCGAGCCACGGTCCCATTCACTCTCACTCCTCTGGATTAGGCCCTACGGCCTGGGGCAACACAGCAATGACTACATTAATAGACCTAAGATAGCATCTCTCCACCCCACCCTAAAATATCTATCCAAGTCTTTCATATTAGGACACATCAGCAGGTTGTTTATTTCCATCCATCAGCGTCCCCAAAGTTTAGCGGGATAGTTTTCAAACTACTTGAGGGCTAAGTGTTAAGTTTTGAGTGTCTGCAGGGTCAGACGAAGCCCTCCAGCTGGTATAAAGTAAACGAGTTAGAACTCCAACCTGTGACAGGTTGTCAGAATTGATGGTGGATCTGCACTGAACAAGTAATGAAAATTAAGCTTGGATGTGTTTCAGGCTACAATAAAACAAAAGTGGAAAATTCTGTCATTATGATACAAGACATACATCAGGAAAGGGGACCTTTAAAAATGCATCACGCTGCATAGCTTTCCACCATCACTGTGAGGAAAGTGTAATAAGCTAAATCTTTCATTCCCAAATGCCAGGAAATTACATGCACTACCATAATCAAATTCATTACCTCCAAACTTGAGGTCAATTTACATTTCTGTATATGCCGTAACAGATAAGTGGAGCGCATCTAATTGAATAATGCTAATTCATCAGGCACTGCTGTGATGAGGTTGGTGGCAGCTTGTAGGGCACATTATCCAACCAGTCGGACTCCCAGTGCCATGCTACGGATAACACTGCTCTGTGAGAACACAATGCCTCTTGACGCCAGCTGTAAAGATTAGCAGAGCTTTGTTTAATTGTGCTGTTAACATCCTAGGAGCCACTTAAGAGCTGCTGCTCTCTCCTCCTTAGAAACTTTAAAGCTCAGCCAACAGTCGCTGCTGCCTTTGCATTCAGGTGCAAATGCCATAGGAATTTGGCCAAGTCAGGTACGCTCAGAGAACCCCACCCCACCCTGTCCTGAATCAGCAACAACTGTGGCATTGCACAGGTAAGCATCAAAATTCATGCAGGACACGGAAGTCTTACGCCCCAAAGCTGTAACCAGCTGACAGCCAGACGATTGAATCATCGCTTCCAATCGGCCACACACCAATCACAGCCCACTCTGACCTCGAGGAGGTTCATTTAAATATGACTCTCTCCTCACTGATCCTTTCTACACCAACTCTGTTACAGACCGTGCTGCTGGCAAAGCTTTGCCTCCTCCACCCTTCTTTAGTTCAGAGTTCATTTTGCATTGCAAACGGTTGAAATGGTATTCAAAGTTTACCTCGGGCTCATTCCTGTATACGCGGTGGGTTCATGCATCATGCTAATCGTGCTCCCTGTTTTGGATCAGTAGGTGCTTGGCTAAATCCAGGGAGCATTTTAAGAGTGGAGGCACCAGCGCCAAGTATAACTATATTTCCATTTGTGGCAACAAATAGATAGAAATCTATGACGAGAGTGTTCCTGACTGAACTGAGATAAATCTCCAAAGGTAAAATGTGAACAAAACATACAGACCAAAATCTTGGTGGGCTGATGAATGAAGGGTTTCTTTTCTAAATGTTGTATATCGAAATGACAAATGTTAATTGTGAAATTTTGAACCAAGAAAGCACCCACGAGGCAATGTTTCCACATTAACTCAATCAGACTGAAAGAACTGAACCAGTGAAGAATCTACAAAACTAATTCAAATTGACATCCTCAGATCAAAAAACAATGACTTTTCTCACTAGTTGAGATCAAACACAGGAATGAGTTCTAAAACCCGGCAATGACTTCGTATTTTTATACTTCCAGTTCCCTCTTCTTGAAGTCAATGTGTTTTTTTGGATGTGTTTTTCGTTGGATGATTAAAGAAAAGTCTGTGGTTTAGACAAGATAAAGAGATTTTAACGTTTTGTTCTGCCATATAAAATGTCAGCAGATATCTCACAATTTTGAAGCTTTTGTTCGTCCACAAAAAGGTGTTTGATTACAGGCGGCCAAACACTAGTCCGCCTTTAACTTAGTGGTGGTGATGTGAAGTCATACGACATGGGGTGTAGTTCGTCTATGGTCTGATGTTAGGTCTTTACTTCTGGCCATTGCAATGATGCTTCAAAAATCGTAATCAAAATACAAAATATGTAATTCTGCAGCAGTCTATAGTCAATGACAATTTGTCCAATTAGATGCCGCCCCCCCCCCCCCCTAGAGGTGGATATAATAAGGCAAAATAACAGTTACACCTGCCGGCAAAGTGCAATCTAGCACTGATGACCTTTTTATCAGTGCACCGCCGAAGGTATCCTCACCAGAGGCTTAATGGTGGTCTGTAAAAAACCTGAAGGAACATAACAAAATTGTTCTCCTGGTTTCTAGAATATTATAGTCAGGCTCACATTTCTCAGAGACATATGCACACGTGTTTTATCTGCAGGCCTTTAAGCTCATTAATATGTAAGACATGCAACAATGCAAGGATCCAATCTTATTTTAATGTGCAGTGTGGGTGTAATGCCATTGCTGGTATAACTTACTTTTTAATTTCCTTCTTCTTTTATGTGTTGAACCATTTATTTTTTAATGAACAATGTTTATTTCTAGGCTATATGTTATTGCAGAACATACTTTTAATATGCTTTTTCTTTTTTATACTATTTTTGGGGGCTTTTGCCTTTAATGTATAGGACAGAGTGGGAATGACATGCAACGAAGGGCCATGGGCGAGATTTGAACCTGTTAAATCTATGACTCAAACTTGTTTACCAATATCAGCTTTTAAGTCCAGACAGTCTTGACAATTCTCTGAAATGTGTTTGCTGGTGTGTAAATGACACGCAGTCAGGCAGGAAAACCCACCACTGCGCTCTTTCAGTTTCCAGCTTGTTGAGCCCGTGGTGGGGGGTCCAGATGTGCTATTTTGCCTCTCCGCTATTTCTGCAGTCAAATGAAGCAAGTCACCGAGGCCTCGCTATCATCGCAGCCCAATATGCCAAATACAGCTGTTATTTTATCAAGCTGGTGGCCTCTGGCGGCGAGGTGACGGGAAGCAGGCTGCCCCCCCTCCTGCACAGGAAGAGGGGATGTCTGGGCCGGCATCTGCTCTGACACCCATTAGTTCGCTCTCATCCACAGTTTCTGCATGTCTACCGCTCTGCCAGCAGCACTAATAATCAAGTTATGATATGGAAATGAGGATGGGGTGTGCAGTGTGTGTAATGGCCGTGCACTCAACTACAGTATATTCTTCAGATCTAAATTAAACTATCCACTGGACTGCAGCTGTAGAGATGAGGACATTTTGCCAGACAACCGAGAGATTACATTTTGACCTGATGGTGTAATATCTGGATGACTAAAAATGAATCTACACAGACATACAGTGCACACATGTTTAATTAAGTGATGGGGTTTTCATTCCGACATAGAAATAACACAGATGATTATTGTTTATTGTGACTATTGAAGATTAATAGTAAAACAGAGACAATTGTATTCTGTAAAACAAATTTTGAAGTATTCATGCTATAATGTTGCTATAATGTTGCTATAATGCACATTTCCAGCTTGTGTAAACTAACTGTGCTGTCATGTTGTCCAGGAATTCCCCGAATGAGAGATTTTAATCTCAAGAGACTATTCCAGTAAAATAAAAGTGAAATATACAAACAAATGATACGAGATGAGTAGAATTTAAAGGCAGAAGTTGATCCCAATCAATGATTTTTTTTTTTTTCACAAGGCTTATAATCTCGAGAAGATGTCAGATGCTGCATACAGTGCAAAAAACAATTAGTCAATTAAATCATTTCAAAGAGCGTATGTGTGGGAGCCTTTTAAAATGAATTCTGCACCGAGCGGTATGCACTTCTAAACCGACGCATGACAGCTTCCAGGTCTGAAAACCGCCAATTCTGTGAGGTGAATAAAAGAATGGCAGAGGTACAGGAGGAGCTCCTCAGTGCCAGCTTGCTGTGACAGGTAGAGGATAGCTCTCCCTCTGACTCTGCTCTGCTGTCAATAGGAACGGATGGCTTTAGCGCCGGGAGAACAGAAATACGTGGAGGAAGATGACAGTTTACGATGCGTCATGTAATGGTGCTCAATGGTCCTGCAGTGTCCCTTTTCTACCAAACTCCAATAAACTTTACTGGTTTGTGCTCGTCTTTGCCCAGAATTGCTGACATGAGTCAGCACGAAATGTACAGTATGCACTGACTTTGGTGACCAAGCAGAGGAATCTATTGATGTATCCCGCTTTCTATGGGTGCGTTTCTCTATTGTTTGGATGCATTGCTTCCTGTGCGCTGTGTGAGAGCCCATTAGTGACAGCAAAACATTATTTATGAAAAGAAAATAAGTTGTCTGCACTTTCTCAGTTAGGGGGTAAAAAGATCCCCTGGTCAAACCCCACTTTGTGAATTGTGAACAGGTATTTGAAGATAAAAAGAAGCTTTACCTGATGAATATTTGAATGGAAATTGTCATTTCAAAATAGATTCAACAATATTGAAGCTTTCAGTTGCTTCAGACAATTATTAAATGCCATCTGCAGTGGTTTCAAACCCGAAATGAATAAGGATGGGAAATATCTTATTCACATTATATAACACCTAATATGGCGGTGAACTGTGCAAAAAAAATTAGGGGCCCACTTACAACTGGGTTGTTTTCAAAACCTCTTTAGCTTCATATCTTCAGCTGCTCCAGGGGCTTCTTCTTCTTCTTCTTCTTCTTCTTCTTCTTCTTGTTACTCGCTCACTTGCACCTTTAAAGTAGATAGAAAAAGGGGGAGAGGGAGTAAAAGAGAGAGGGAAAATGAAAGAGAAACATTAATGAAAGGGACTACTAAATGAACTGCCTCCTCAAGTGGTAGGTGGGGGAATTCGACAAACGCAGAGATGAGTTTCTCTCTCTCTCTCTCTCTCTCCTCTTTGCCCTTTGTGACCGCAGGACGACAGTTCTCGGGCGAAGAAGAGGCTTGCCGCTGATTGCCTGAGAGCGGTGGAGTGCGAATCTGCATGAAATCCCTCCTGACTTTCTTTTTTTTCTTCATCATTTTCTCCTCCACATCTCTAATGAGCCTGTTCCAAATCTGTGGGAGAGCATGTGTGTCTGTGTGTGCATGAGCGTGGTCGATGCGTGTTTGGATATTCGCTTAGGAAGAGATCCATACGTTTTTGGTTTCTATAGCAATTGTGTATGTGGACGGGTGTATCCAGGTTCGAGCGGGCATTTAGTTTTGTTGGTGGTGATTCTGTTATTTACTGCATGTCGACTTGAGTTTGAACACGTCATGGTACACGTGCTTGTGTGAGTTTCCATGCATCTGGAGGCCATGTCTCCTGCACGTTAGCCTCACTCAATATTCAGCCAATACTCTCGGTCGAGTCTGCAGTTGTGGGCGGCCATGAGTCCACCCTAAGGAGCTTCCGCTGAGCAGCTGAGGATGGTTATCTCCAGTGAAAGGTCAGGGGAGCTCATCATTACCCTGCGCCCAGAGTCTTCTTCTAGATAACGATATCAATATCATTGCTGGAATGGACGTCAGGGGCGTGATCAATTAATATGGACACCGAGGTTCAGGGAGGAGAGCTTCCCCAAATGCATTGCGTTGCTCGTTGAGGAAGAGTTTTCAAAATAACAGAGTTTTGACTTCAAGTTCATGTTGGGGGAAAAAAGGAAGTTGAAAATGCAATATTTATGCAAGTTCCGCATACTGAGAGATCAAATTACTATGCAGTTAGTGTGCAAGTAATGAGAGCACATAATTCATACCAAGCGCAAATGCAGTGCCTGCTATGATATTATCCACAAGGCATAACATCTTGAACTATGCTGACTGCTGCTACTGTCAAGTGTTCTCCTTCTTTCAGCCGTTCAAATCTGGACATCTACCGTGTGATGCTGAAATTGAACCTTAACCTGCAGATCAAATAAAAAAATAAAATATTAACCGAAATTAAACTGCTTACTTTCATAAAAAGTCTTGATGACGTTAATAAGACAACTTTATGCTGTGTTGTAGGATGAAAAAGGAAATGTTTGGCAGCAGAAGGGACAGTAAATTTCAGTCCTCAGCCTGATGCTGCTAACTTCTCTCCTCCTCCCGCTTAGTCTTTGACTCATGAACTGGACGCTGCTTGAAAACAGTCTCCCAGCATCCTCTATGGGTATTATTATCTGAACGGTCAACATGATCCTTTATTCTGACAGGCCACTCGGGTCAGGTCAGCCCTCGCCCGCCAATCAGTGTCAACTAACAGGCTGGCTGCAGAACGATCCCCCTGATACACGGACTGCAGCACAGCGGAGAGTAGAGATGAATGTGTACGTGTGTGTGTGTGTGTGTTACAACATGGGTTTGTGAACATGTTATAGAGTGCATATGGGGGAAAATGCAGTTCTCATATAAGCCCAATGAAAATGTGTTTGTTTGTGAGGGTGCGAATGTGAGGAAACTAAAGTGTATAAATCATTTTTACGTGAGGCGGGTTGGACAGCAAGCAGCACTGGTTTGCTGAGTTTGTGAAAAAGAATAAAAATTGTCTAGAAACGAATGCATGTGTGGCTGCATACACATGAGCATGGGTGCGTTCGTGTGTCGGTGAGAGAGCGAGGGAAGAAAATTGAGGCAGATTCTGCAATACTTCAATCTCCCACACGCTTGGCTGCCAAGACGAGGGCAGGGGGAATTTGTTTAATGTACAGCATTTATTCACTGCACACACGCTGTTGCACTACCGCTTCCTCCCAATCGAATGAGACACTCCCTTGGCTGGGCGAGTCGCCATTAATAAGCCGGAATGAAGCGTTTGCCGGACAGCACGGAAGCAAAACTCACCCTAAATCAACATCTTAAGTTAATGGAAATATCGCCCGGCCTCCTCACTATAGCATGCAGGTGAGAGCGTGATGCTGCTCAATGTCTTTTTTTTTGCTGCGGATCGGGGGTTAATGCTTCGTCCACTCATTTGGAAATCAGCTCCGGTTTTTTTTCTCGTGACCCTGCAACATATTGGCATTGAGTTTAGTCACCGTGCTGAGACAGATGGCCGAGCATCATGGTGCATGGCAAATTCGGGAAATGAAAACATGCATGCTCAGAAATGGGTCCATGTATTTTCTCCTCTCCAGCAACGTCACCACACAGGGTACATTCAGAATGGAGGAAGAGGAAACTTTCAGAGAAAAATAAAAAGTCCAAAGCAAGAAAACACAAGGCTAAGCTACTCTGTGCAAATGTCAACAGGTGTGCTACCAGAGAAGTAAAAAAAAAAAACCTCAGATGAAGAAATGTCAACATAGTTTCAACCTTGACATTGACAGAAGTCAAGAGATTGTTTTCTCTTCGAATGAAAAAAAGCATTGCCATGGTAGCACCTGATGTCTTCCTCACTCCCCATTGTTCTCCAGTTATAACAGGACTGATATGCCCTGAAGCAATTAAAAGCCAAATCTTCACCAGAGTAAGGAGAAGAGAAGAGAACAGAGAGGATGGCGAGAGAAAGGGGGGAGTAAGAGGAAATGTCTGTGAAGCACAGAGAAGGTGTGAGTGGAAAGGAGGGCGGGAAAATGTGAAGTTGAGGTAATCAGAAGGGATGTGTCACGGAGAGGAGAAGTGTGAGGTGGGAGGAGGACGAGTTCAGAGAGAGGAGAGCAGACAGTGACAGGGGAGGAGAAGATAAGTCAAGAGGAGAGAGGAGGAGTCAAGATGGGACAAGTTGAAGGAGAGGAAAGCAGTGAGGAAACGACAGGTGAACACAAGCCAAGGGAAAAGACAGAAGAGACGACAGGCAGGGAGAGACGAAACTCAGAGGAGAATTAGGTATGAGCAGAGAGGAAAAGACAAGAGGGGAGATAATGGGGGCGGAGACAAAAGGAACGAGCCAAGAGGAGGAGAGAGTGGAAGAGAACGGAAATGACAAGTCGAGAAATAAGATCAGGAGAGGAAGAGAGGAAGGAAGTCAGGGGAAATGAGGAAACAATAGAGCTTAGGTGCTGCTTCTATATATGTGACTGAAAGGGAATTTGAGCCCTTGGCAGCTGTCTACGGTACACACTGACTGTTCCTTCCGAAAAAATTACAGGTTTGTCAAAACATGGGGGAGGAAGAGGTGATACAATTACAAACTTATCTTGCCATCTCGTTGATACCATTGACCTTTGAATGATTTCACAAATGCCAATGTCATACAGTCACATTCAACTGCTCAGCTGAAAGTCTTTCCTCCTGTATTTATTCAACTATAGAAACGGATTCTGAGAAACTAAAATGATTTGCTTTGAAGCATCTTTGCTCAGAGTAAAGATGACATGACATCAACTTAATTTCAGTTTATTTCACACCACACAATGGATAGCAGGCTGATTCTTCTACTGACATACCACGAAGCCTTCCTTTCTCTATCAGGAATGTGAGTGTCCTGATCTTAATGTGAAACTTACACAGACTGCTGTGGACATCCGGGACCAGTAGTAGCTCTGTTCATACTGTGCCCTTTCAGGACGCGTTAACATGCGTAGTAGGTCGCTACGTGGACAAGTCTGGACAGGTCTGCACGTTCACAACAAATTGCCAGTACGTGGACGTACGGTCAGAGCCCACGTATACACACTTTGATGACGAAATGTACTTCACACCGACCCGAGCGTACTCGCGAAAGCGTGATGCATAAGGAGAAGTACTTGGAATCCCCTGAATATAATTAAGGAGTTGACCTCAACATGATCACAGTACATATACTGTATACTATGCACAACGTTTGTGTCAAAAAAAGGCTACCTCGGTTTCGTAAGAGTCCTAATGAAAAGAAATGTAACACAAATTTCATCCGTGAGATTCTTTCAGTAGTCGCAATGAGCAGCTGTCAAAGGCTGTGTGCACTCTTATGTCCTTGAACAAGTCTCTACCTGATCATGCACCGTAAGCTGCTCTGGTTAAGAGCATTGGCTAAATGCCGAAAAATGCAAACGTAGAAAAGAAGAATCGACTTCATGGAAATTACTGTTTTGTATCAAAGCCATTTAGCAAGGCACTGAGGGACCAGTCAAGGCCCCTTTGGGCTTTGACAAAGACATAATGAGACAGTCATTGGATAATAAGCTCCTTTAGTCATTCAAATGATTTCCAATGTACTCCAGGCAACATTCTGACCCATAAAAGACAAAGACTGTAAAAGACCAAATGTCCACATGTCTTGTGTGTACCATTCCTTTTGTTTTGTACCATTACATCTCCAGCCAGCTATATATCTTGGCAATAGTGCAAAAGGGCTATAGGCTGTCTAATGGTGTCATTGAGGGGACTTTCAATTAAAGGTTAGTGTAAGTGTTGAGTTATGCTCACTGTCAGAAATGCACCCCTTAACATCAATCTCACGGATTTAACATGTTGGATTCATGTCAGAATGGGTACCCTGTTCATCGTCAACAATTTGATTGCAGTCAAATTAATGTAAAGGATGTAGCAGTACAAGTTTAAATATGCAGAGAGAGAGAGAGAGAGAGAGAGAGAGACAGACAGACAGAGAGATTGAATGCACCATCTCAGAACACTGCAATAAATCCAATATCTCAATCATCAACTCTTCTGTGCAAAATGAGTTGAATAAACTAGGAAGGGTTTGAGGAGTTTGAGGAGAAATATCT